GGAAGAAGCCCACAGTGGTGTGACTGGAAATATGTCTACACTTAGGGGAAGGGAATGCTCCATAGATGGCTCACAGAGCATGCCAGCTGGAACTGGAGGGCAGACAAGGTTAGCCCTCCCATCCTTACCTACCCAGGCTTCTCAGTCCAGGTAAAACAAAGGAAAAGAAACTGATCCCATTAAATGAGGTCAGGGACCCACTTGTCAGGCAAAATAAATGGATGCAAAAGATGCTAAAGATTAGCTCCTTCTAAGCTGCTGGGCTGGATGGGGTCACAGACGGAAGGGGTTTGATCAGTTTCAGGGTTGCAGACCACAGCCCCCCTTCCACGTTCCCCCAAACCCAGTCACTTCGGTCTGACCACAGACAAAGGCACCTGGCTTCAAGATTTCTATGCAAAAACCTGTAGCAACAACCAAATAAGGGAGAAGGTGATGATTCATGGTACAGAAGGAATTCTTGGATGGAAACTTGCTACTTCAGCATTCTTGCAGGTTGCTGGATTCCTCTGGGCTTTGGGGCTTTCATAGACTCAAACAGGAATGGTATTGTATAGGACCCCCACCCCCACCCACCCCTACCGCCGCCGCCACATCACAAACTCAGTCTAGAAAGCAAAGGAGCTTGAGGGATTCTGAACATGGTGTACTTAGCCAGTGGCCTAAGTGAAGGGGAAAAAAATCATGAGGGGGTCAAACCCCCTCCTCTTGTTCTATGAGAGTGGGAGTTGGGGCTGCTAGCTGGGTGTGGGGGCTCATGCCTACAATCTCAGCACTTGAGGCCAGCCTGGGCTACACCAGCAAGGACCTGTCCCAGCATCAAAAAAAATAATTTGGCACTGGTTCCATGAGGATACTAATGTTGACTAGGATGGTGTGCTCATAACCAGAGGTCACAGTGGTCTGTGTGCACGCCCGTGCAAAGCTTCCTAGTTAGGGGCACCTTCCAAGCTTCCAGGGCCTCACACCTGGGAGAAGGATGGACTGAAGATCTAATGCATTCCTACAACCCACAGAAGCACTTCCTTTGTTACTACAGCACAATTGTCTCACTAAGGACAAAAGACACCTGAATTTGAGAGGTCTCCGTAAAAAAGGTGTACCAACCAAAGACACAAACAGGTGAGTCCGGAGTAAGTGAAGGGAGGCCACAGAGGCTGCCCGGAGGAGGCAGAGCAAGTGGGCTTTGTGGCCAGGAAGCTTCAGCAGGGGTGAGGCTGGATTTGGGTTTCAGCTGGCCAAGAATCAGGAGCCCCGGTCTCTTCAAGCGTCTCCAGTACAATAGCCTGGTGAGCGTATTAGAAAGGCAGGCCACCAAGCTGCCTCCTGAGCCCCAGACAAATCAAAACAGAGCTAAGTCGGGAGAAGTGAGGACATTGCCAAGCAAGTTCTCCAAGCCAACCGTTCTCAAGCAAGCCACAATCTGAAGGCAGAGTGTGGAAGGCCAGGGGACAGTCTGAACCGGACCCAGGTAGATCCAGGAAGAGCTGTGGCTACTTGGGTGGGGTGGGGGTGGGGCTCAAGGATGAGTCCCCGAAGAGAGAGACAAAGCAGGTTTGGACAGCCAGGGTCAAGCCATCTCAAGGCTGTTTAGTCACAACACTCCAGCCCCTCTCCCCTAACACTTCCCACGATGACCCTCACCGGAGTGGGCCGGTATGGATTAAGAGTGACTACAGATTGGAGATTTCTCAGATTACAAATTAAAGATGAACTGGGTGTGCTGGCTCACATCTTTAATCTAAGCACCTGGGAAATGAAGGCAGGAGGGTTGTTTCAAGGTCAAGGTCTGCCTAGGCTACAGAGTGAGACCCTAGCTCCAAAAATCAATCAATCAAACACAGCAGGTGATGGGAAAGTCCAGAGTGCTCACAGAAAAGTCAAGTCTGGGTAGCCAGACCTCAGAAGTGTGTTCTTCGGAGGCTGAAGGAACTTCACGCAAACATCAACCGTGCTCTGTGCAGCCAGCCACCCCATGCTGGAAACAGCTGAGTGGGGCTGGAAGCAGGCAGCCCTAATCTACACACATTGTGGGACCAAGGCTTAGACTCATGGAGTCTCTGTCTGGGTGGTGCAGATCAGTGTGGCAAGCAAGCTGGGGGGGGGGGGGGGCGGGGAATTTCTGGAGGAAGAGAAAAAGACCTTGGTGTGGCTTCAGCTGGTCAAGAGTCAATGCTCTCCTCATATGCATTCTTGTATGTGAAGGCCTTTGGTCAGTCCTTCATGTTGCCTCCCCTCACCCCCAAACCCCAAAGTCCTTCATGCTGGCTCCCATCACACCAAAAAGAACTCTCTTATGGAAAGATGGAATCCCTTACCCAGAACTCCCTCAATCCTTTCACAGGTGGGAACAAGGCTGCCTTTCGCTCTGCCCGGGTGACCAGGAAATGTAGCCACAGCTAGGTTTGCAGCCGGGGACCGGACACACCTGCCACTCCTGTGTTGTGAGTCACCCGTGCAAGCGCTACACCATGTACTTCTCAACCATGGAGTAGGTTGCTCAGCAGCTCCTCTCACGCACACCGGATGTTATCCATCTCCTGCCTCCAGAAACATGTTGGGACAGATCTGGTAATAACCCAATTTTCACTCAACAACAAGCCTGGTGGAAGTTTGGTGGAGCGAGGGACAGAGAGATGATTCTTCCATTTTGGGCCAGAGCCTCCCAAGAGGTCCTTGGGGAGGAGGGTTCTAATCCCGTTCGGTAGCTGTCAGACGAGATGGGTGAGTGGACATGGATGGGAGGTGGAGGGGACCTCTGAATTTCAGGCCTCCTTGGAACGGGCCCACCTGTTGTGCCCCCTCAGTAACCATTTTTACAAGATGGCTTTGTGCAACTTAGGAAGAGATCCTGGCCCCAAGGAGGAACATCCATGGGATAATTGAGAGGGATCCATCCGCACAAGGCCCGTGAAGGAGTCAGAAGCCCTGGATCCTTGCTGGCGTCCTAGTGCCTGATGGCTGCACCACGGTGTGTGCCAGATGTTAACAAATGTGGGGAAAGGAGGCAGGAGGGACTGTATTTGCAACTTTCCTACAAATCTAGGTCCGTGCTAAATTCAAAAGTTCGTTTTAAATCTTGCTGCCTAGCGCACATGGATCTGGTGCCACCAAAGCAACTGACGTCACAGTTTTCAGGAGAATTTCAACTGTCCTGCCCTGACTGTGTTGATCGGCTCCTCGGAACAGAGCAAGCCTAGCTTCCACTCAGGTGCCGCGTTTAGATTTTAGCCCTGTGTTTGTGTCCCCTCCCTGAAAGAAAAGCTGTGCAAGAGAAGGGTGGCGCCCTTTGCCTCCAAGCCCTCTCCGAAATGTCTTCCACTTGAAATGCTCTTCTAATGTCCAACCGGCCGACTTACAAAGGACAATTTCTAGACACTTCTCCAGGAACATCTTCCCAAATGCAGAGAAAGACTTGGGTCCCCCACCAGCACAAGATCATTGTGTATAAGTTTGGAAATACCTGAGTGTCCAACAGTAGGCTGGATTATCAAGCAAATGGTTGCAGGAGAATACAGTAGTGCTACAGAGTTTTGATGGGGGGAGGGGCACACCAGCAGGAAACAAAGTTATGACTACTGCAGGTGACAGCAGTGGGGACCGTGTGCAGTTCCCAGCACTGCGGCAACTGGATGGTTTTCTGCCAACTGCAGCTTTCTGTGGTTTCCTGTAATGCAGAGAAGGGGAGAGTGGGTGGGGAAGAGGTACGCCGTGGTCATCCAGAAAGTTTCCAAAGTGCCTCTCCTAGGGTCAGACTGAGGCAGAGAACCGGGCAGGGGAAGGATGGCCACCGGGGAACCATTCTTGGGCAGTATGCAAGGATCTGGATGGAGCTAGAGGCAGCAGGACCCAACTTCTGCAGAAAGAATCAGGGACTCACAAAATTCCTCTTTCTAAAAACATGCTTTGTTTTTCCTGTGCCGCCTAGCCCTCCCTCCCTGAGCAGGTGCTGAATGAGAGCTCAGGACCCCTGGGCACTTACCAAAGTCAATCCCTGGCTTTGTAGTTTTCTATGTTGGAGAGAGTTCTGCGTGGGAAATGGGTCACCATATACATGGTCCAAAAGAAAGTCCAAAGACTTCTGACAGGGGTGGGTGGAGAAGGGGAGAGGGAATCCCATATCTGGAAAAGTGTTACCCGGAAACCACCTCCAGGGAGAAGGTTCTGGAATTAAGGGTGAGAGCCAAAGAGAGAGAAACAGAGGAACCTGGTGTTACTTAGGGTGGGGTAGCTCAGTCATTCATTCAACAAACGCCTACTCCCGGGCTATACGGTGACAGGTACCAACGTCCCCACAACAACGCAATCACAAACGGACAAGGAGGGGAGAAAGCTATCGGGTATAGATAGAGTCATTTCATTTACAATTATGTCTCAAGACCTAAGCCAAAAGTCCTCTTCATGATCCAAGCTGCACAAAAAGAAGGCCGAGGGCAGCGGGTGTACACACTGAACCAAATGTATCCGTCTTTGCATTCAGAAAGCATGCTCTCAGGGTGGCTAATATCAACCCTTCAACAGCTCCACAGCAGCCCAATCTTCCAAATAATGCGGTATCCACCAAGAGCCCCCACCGCTACCCAGCCGCCCCCACCCCCAGCCCCGTGGCTTCTTCAAACGCTGTGCCCCTGAAACCCGCTTCGTGCAATGGCAGCTGCCTAGAGAGGCCTGGCTGGCAAAGCAAAGGGTCTCGAAGGACCATCTGAGAAAAGGCAAGTGCCAAGAAGGCAGGCGCTTCCTCCCGCTAAGTCTCTGTCCCCGCGCGCGCGCACGGGGTAACCAAGGGCTTAACCAACGCCTGAGGCTGAAGGACGATGACCCAGAACGGCCGCTGCCTACAGAGATTTGAGCTAGTAGGTTCCACCTGAAGCAAAAGAATTGCTAAAATGACCCCCAAGAGGTCAACTAGAACAAAAATTCCAATCTTGAAACCTCAAAGCAATTCAAGGGGAGGAGGAGTAGGCAAATCAAATCCACAACCGCACCGCAGTGAAACTTACCTCCAGGTGGGAAAGCCGCTGGGAGGTGGAAAGGCAATCCGTGGATGATGGGGACGAGGTCGTGGGTCTTCTAAATCCAGTTGACAAGCACCAAGTAATCCATGTTAGGAGATCCGGCGCCCCCACCCCTTTCTCCCCTGTCCATTCAGCGCCCAAAGCCAAAGCGCCGCCAGCGCTCCGGGGATCCGCGTGGGTTGTGGAAAGATCACGCGCCCGGACTCCCGGGCGGCTGCAGCGCGGTCCCCGGGAGCGGACCGGCACCAAGAGCTGCGGGCAAGGGCCACCCCGAGGACTCTGACCGGCGCATCCTGCCTCCTCGCACAGCTCTGAGCCTTTCTTCTGTGAGCATCGCCAGCGCAAACACACAGTCCGCGCTAGGAAAAATCCCTCTGGCGAATCCAGATAGGCCTCGGGTTTGTAGGTCCACGAGGATCGGGTGGCACAGGGAGGACGCTCGCTGGGCAGGAAAGCCCCGGAGGCGCCCAGGCGCAGTGTCCACACCAAAGCGACGAAAACCGGGCGCGTCCTGCGCCACCACCGCTCTGCGCGCCGGAGGAGCGCTCCGCGTTTTTATAGAGACAGACTTTGAGGGGCGTGGTCAGAGGGTGGGGCAAAGCGATAGATTGGCAGAGTGGTTTCCTGGGAGTTGTAGTTCCGTCTTCCTATTCCTTAACACTCATCCAGCGATTGGCAAAGGACTCACCACGGCTCATACACTGGAGGAAAAAAAAGGGTAAGCGTATGCAACATACGGTGCTGGCAAAACTGGATTTCTGCCTGCAGAGGGTGAAATTAGATTTGTATATTTCACCTCGTACAAAAATCAATTCAAATTGATCAAAGATCTTAATTTATAACCAGAAAAAAAAAACACTGAAACTTCTAGAAGAAAACATAGGGGATACCCTTCAAGATACTGGAGTAAGCAAGATCTTTTTTAATAGAACACCAACAACATAAGAACTAACCCCAAGTGTCAACCAATAAGACCGAATGAAAATAAAAACTTCCCTACAGCAAAGGAATCTGCAGAGTTAATAAATAGCACACAGAATGGGAGAAAATCTGTACCAGCCACACTCCAGACAAGGGGCTAATATCCAGAATTTACAAAAGAATTTACAAAGAATTTCAGAAATTAAATATCAAAGAGGTAAAACTGCCAATCAACAAATGGCCAAATGAACTGAATAGACAGACCGGGGGGGGGGGGGGGGGGGGGGTGGGGGGGGGTGAAGGGGAGAAAGAGAGAGGGAGGGAGGGGAAAGGAAGGACAGATGAAGGGAGGGTGGGGAGAGAGAAAGAGAAACAAATGGACAATAACTGATTTTTAAAAGTGTTCACTTGTTGAGACACCAGCTCACCCCAGTCAGGATGGCCATTGTCAACAGGTATGACAAGAATGTTGGAGGGGGCAGTGGTGGCACACGCATCTAATCCCAGTACCCAGGAGGCAGAGGCAGGTGGATCTCTGAGTTTGAGGCCAGCCTGGTCTACAGAGTTCCTGGATAGGCAGGGCTACACAAAGAAGCCCTGTCTCAAAAACAAACAGTGAAAGAGAGAGAGAGAGAGAGAGAGAGAGAGAGAGAGAGAGAGAGAGAGAGAGAGAGAGAGAGAGAGAAGGAGGGAGGGAGGGAGGGAGGGAGGGAGGGAGGGAGGGAGGGAGGGAGGAAGGGAAAAGGGAAGGGGATGGGGAGGGGAGGGGAGGGAGAAGGAAAAAGAAATGTTGGAGAGGATGTGAAGAGAGAAAAGCCCTTATTCATTGTTGGTGGGAGGGCAAATGAATACAACCATTGTGGAAATCAGTGTGGAGATTTCTCCAAAAGTTGAAAATAAAGCTGCCATATGATCCAGCTACTTCAATCCTGGGTATATGCCCAGAGAACTCCATATCCTCCATAGAGTTATTTGCATCCCCATGTTTATGGCTTTTTTTTATTGGCTACAGCAAAGAAACAGAATCAATCTAGATGTCAATCAACAGATAAATGGATAATGAAAGCTTGGTGTGTATATAAAATGGAATATTATTCAGCTCTAAGGAAAAATGAAATTTAAAAAATTGCAGGAAAATGAATGGACTTAGAATATATAACATTAAGCAAGGTCACATAATCTCAGAAAGAAAAAAAAACATGTAGTCTCCCTCATATGAGGAACCTAACCAATAATATATGCATATATGTGAAACAAATGTACATGTGGGCACAGTGTAAAGTAGTTGGTATTTTTTTACTCTTTGGTTCTTTGTGGGGGGCCCTTCACCCAACTCCCAAACAAATACACACACATGGGACTTATTCTTTCTTATGAATCCCCGGCCTTAGCTTGACTTGTTTCTAGCCAACTCTTCTAACTTACCCAGTTTACCTTTTGCCTCTGGGCTTTTACCTTTCTCTGTTTCTGTATATCTATTCTTTCTTTCTTTTTCCATGTCTGTCTGTCTGACTGTGTGGCTGGGTGGCTGGCCCCTTCTTTTCTTGCTCCTTGTTCTCCCTCTCCCCTTTCTCTTTCTGTTTATTCTCTCTGCCTGCCAGCCCCGCCTATCCTTTCTCCTGCCTTGCTATTGGCCATTCAGCTCTTTATTAGACAGACCATCAGGTGTTTTAGACAGGCACAGTAACACAGCTTCACAGAGTTAAGCAAATGCAACATAAAAGAATTCAACACATCTCTGCATCATTAAACAAATGTTCCACAGCATAAACAAATGTAGCACATCTTAAAATAATATTGTACAGCCGGGCGGTGGTGGCGCACGCCTTTAATCCCAGCACTTGGGAGGCAGAGCCAGGCGGATCTCTGTGAGTTCGAGGCCAGCCTGGGCTACAGAGTGAGTTCCAGGAAAGGCGCAAAGCTACACAGAGAAACCCTGTCTTGAAAAACCAAAATAATAATAATAATAATAATAATAATATTGTACAACACTATAACATGAAGAAAAGAGAACAAGAAAGGCCAAATATAAAGGGATGAAGAAGGCCCAAGCACAGGTAATGGCCACAGTTATGAAAGAGGATATGAAACTAATTGCTTTCCAAGTTCTAACGCTGTCGTAGATTTTTCATTTTGGTGATGAGTAAGTGCATAAAAATATGTTGGAGCATGGCAGTGTAAACTCCACTGTGAGTCTCGACGATTCATTCAGTTAGGAATGCCTGTCCTAACTGTTGAGACATCTACTGAGCTGTATATACTTCAAGTCTAATTCATTTCTGTGTGTGATTTTTTTTAAGTTTTTTGTTTTTTTTTAATTTATTTGTTTATGTACTTTATGTTATTGGTGTTTTGTCTACATGTACATTTGCACACCAGAGGAAGGCATCGGACCCCATGGGACTACAGTTATAGATGGCTGTAAGCCATCATGTGAGTGCTGGGAATTGAACTCAAGACCTCTGAAAGAGCAGCCAGTGCTCTTAAATGGTGGGCCATCTCTCCAGCTCTGTGCATGATGTTTAAGGTATTTTTTTTTCTTTTAAGCATCTTAAAGAAAAGGTTTTTTAGCTCACTTTTCAAGTACAGTCCACTGTGGTGGGAAAGGCAAGGCAGCAGGAACTCTAGGCAGCTGCTCACACCGCATCCACACTCAGAGAGCAGAGGAGTGAATGCACACAGCTGCTCACACCACATCCACACTCAGAGAGCAGAGGAGTGAATGCACTCAGCTGCTCACACCACATCCACACTCAGAGAGCAGAGGAGTGAATGCATACTGCTGCTCACACCACATTCACACTCAGAGAACAGAGGAGTGAATGCACACAGCTGCTCACACCACATCCACACTCAGAGAACAGAGGAGTGAATGCATACTGCTGCTCACACCACATCCACACTCAGAGAACAGAGGAGTGAATCCACACTGCTGCTCATACCATGTCCACACTCAGAGAACAGAGGAGTGAATCCACACTGCTGCTCACACCACATCCACACTCAGAGAACAGAGGAGTGAATGCACACTGCTGTTCAACCGTTTCTCCTCTTTAGACAGTCCAGGACCCCTGCTCAGGGAATGGTTCTGCCCCCAGTTAAGATGAATCTTCCCACATCAATTAACATAATCAAGGTAATCGCCCACAGGATTCCCAGAGTCCTGTCTCCCAGGGGACTCTAGATTCCAATTTTAGATTCCTTAGCATTAAGCATCACAACCCAGACAAAATATACATGTTTAATATGACAAGAGAAAGCCAGATGTGGTGGCTTTAACCTGTAATCCCCAGACTCAGGAGGCTTAACCATGAGGTTAAGTTCAAACTCAGCCTGGTCTAAAAAGCCAGTAAGTATGTGCATACATACAGTGACAGGACACTCATGTGTTCTTCCAGATGAGAGCGATGGGGTATATTGACTACTATTCTGTTGCTGTGATAAAATACCAAGACCAAAAGCAAGCTAAGGAAGAAAAGATTTATTTTAGCTTATGGTTCTAGAGGGATAGCATCCTCATGGTGGGGAATGCATGGCAAGGCAGCAGACATGGTGGAATGGGAAACTCACTGATCCCATTTCAACCACAAGCAGGAAGCAGAGAGAAAAAAACAGGAAGTGGGGGTGAGACTATTCACCCCCAAATACCGCTCTCAGTGATATACTTTCTCTAGCAAGGCTGCACCTCCTAAATTTCCATACCCCCCACAACACCACCACCAATGGGGACCAAGTGTTCAAACACGTGAGCCTTTGGAGATTTCTCATTCAAACCACCACATGGAATTAGAGAAGACAAAAGGTAACAGCGTCTAGGTCTCCCCTAAGCCCAGTCTTCAAATTTCTACCCAATGGAAATTAACCCAGTGCTCTAATTAACCCCCACCCCCATTGAAATTGCAGGCTCCAGGCAAGCTCTAAGTTGGCCCTGGTTACCTGGCTCCTATCTGGCACCAAGTGACATCCATGCAGTGCCAATGGCAGTGCGGAGAGCTTAGGTCACTGTTTCCATTTTACAGTCACAATTCACACACACACCGCTTTCAGGAAAATGTGGACAAGAGTGAAGACCAAATGCACAGACAACTGGCCTCCCCAGGTCTGCAGCACAGAACCCCAGGGAGAGGACCTCAGCATGGTCACAAGGACCTGCCCAGTTTCTCCAGATCTTTCCTAGAGAGCCACATAGTCATGGCAGTGAAAGGATTGCTGTCGTCTCAAAATGGTACCGAGCCTGGGGTGGACTTGCCTGGCTGCTGGTTCTTCTGCACTCGCTCTTTACCCCACTCCTCAAATGCTCTAAAGTTTCTCTTAACAGCAGTCGCCACCTGAAGAATTTGGAAAAACAGAGTGCAGTCGATGGTAAATCCTCACTCCTGTGGAAAGTAAGTATTGTGTCCAGGCAAAGCTGGGGTCACACAGTCCTTGTTTAAAAACTTCTAGGTGTAGAAATAGGAACTCTTGCTTAGCTTTGGATGCAGATAGATGCGGACACACACACACACACACACACACACACACACACACACACACACCTCTGCTCACTCCACTATGAAAGACAAGATACAATACACCCCAGGACCAAGAAGTACCAGGCCCATGGGTACTTTCTAATACTATTGTCCTATGTAAGGTATCAAGGAAACTTGGAAACATGACTGAATCTGCGACAAGGGCCAGAAATATATGGAAAGAGCCTCGACCATCTTATAGGGTTAGAAAGTAAGAAAGTGCTACAATGTACATAAATACTACAGGCAACCAATAATATGTATGTGTCAAAGGGACACAGAGACCAACTCAAGCCACGTCTGGTGGCATAGGCCTATTGCCTTAGCTACTCAGGAGACTGAGGCAGAGAAATCACAAGTTCAAAGCTAACATAAGCTAGAGAGTGGGTACAAGACCAGCTTAGAGAATTTGCTGATCTCCCATATTTAAAATGAAAAATCAAGAGAGCTGGGCATAGAGTTCAGTGACGGAGTGTTCACCTGGCATACACCAGACTCTCGTTCAATCTCTAGTACGAAAAGAGAAAGAGGACAGGGGGGGGGGGGGCTGTGAGTGAGCTAGCAAGCAGGGAAGAGAAGGGGGTGAGCGGAGAGGAAAGAACAGAAGGGGAAAAGGATAGAGAACTGGGGAGCAGAAAAGAAAGAAACTGGAGACTGGCGGCGGGGCGGGTGTGTGTGAGAGAGGATGGGAGATGAGAAAAGAAAGGGGAAAGGGGAGGGAGGAGGAGGGGAAGGAAGGAGCAGAAGAGATGGAGGAAGAAGGGAGAGAAGCAGAAAGGAAGGAGGGGAGGAGATAGGGGGAGAGGAGAGGACAGCATCATTTCACTGAACTCCAAGCGTCAGACTCCGCATCTACTGATGCACGTGGGGTTTTATTTATTTTAACTTTGCAAGTAGGCATAAATCCACATATAGCTCTAATCAAAACCTTTTGC